CGTCCAACCATATAAGCAAAAAATTAATCTATAACAGCTTCACGTAAAAGACGCAAGAAAAGCCACGGTACCCAACTACTTCGTTCTTAATAGAAGCTTAATGAAATCAATTATCAACGTCCATATATATACATACGATAGTAATCGATGGAAAGATCTTTCTCTGCGACTCCGAAATGAGCTTGTCAATTAATGGTTCAATAAGATTATCGGCGATAATGTTATTACTGTTTCGGTATCATCATCTGTATTCTTAGCATAATAACTTGGCTTAACACGTTAACTGCCATGTTCATGATTGACTTCCACGGTGAAGGAATAACATCGTGTAATAAAAATGATACCCGCAAAATTATAATTTGTGTAACTACTGGTGGTGGGACTTCTTGTGAGTCCGCGCGTGAAGCAGTAATTATCTCAAGGTGGGTGGCGCATTTACGTTGTAGATGTCCATGGGTTCCTGTTACCACTTAACACCAGGTGGGCTGTGAGCTCGTCCACCCATGTATCATCACGTCGAGTATGAAATTTTCCACACTTATAGAGAATACAGAGAAGAAGTGCACAATGCTAATATTTTTTTTAAATAATGCATAAAAGATGCATTAAATCAATAAAGAAAACATTACACACACTACATACCATGTATTTGACGCACACACGCATGCATACTATTTATTGTCAAACTTTTGTTCTTGACGTGTGTTGTCAAATTGAGAATAGATTAAATATTGTTTGTCTTTGTTAATATTTTTTATAGTGTAGTCTTGGCGAAATTTGTGATTATAGAAGTATAAAATACAGTCATAATAGTGTACAAACTTACAATTCCAATTAATTATAGTCGAATTTCGACTACTGCGGGACCTCTAGTTTCTATAGATCCCCGTAACCACTTTAACAATTTTACATAATTTGTTTGCCATATACATTCTTTGGAACGTCCCAAAATGCATTTCTTCAAAGTCTTTATCTGAGATGAAACTTTTATTTAGCTTAAATAGATTATAACAAATTAAAACAATTTTAATGGACGGGCAAGGATGGAATTTCGAGATTTTTTTTGATATATGGAATAGATGGATGAACGAGCTCACGGCCCACCTGGTCTTAAGTAGTTGCCGGACCCGATTGACATCTACAACATAAATGCCGCCATCCACCTCGAGACATGAGTTTATAAGGTCTCACTTTTAACAGTACAACGGCTGCCCCGCCCCTCAAACCGAAACGCATTACTTTATTTATTTATTTTATTAATTAGATGGGTGTACGAGCTCACAGCCTACCTGGTGTTAAGTGGTTACTGGAGCTCATAGACATCTACAACGTAAATGCGCCACACACCTTGAGATATAAGTTCTAAGGTCTCAGTATAGTTACAACGGCTGCCCCGCCCTTCAAACCGAAACGCATTACTGCTTCACGACAGAACTAGGCGGGGCGGTGGTAGCTATACGTCCGGTTTCACAAGAGGTCCTATCACCAGTAAAACATGGCCTTTATAATTCTTTTTTTTTAAGCATCACTATCCTTTCGGGATACTAGATATTAAGCGAATGAAATATCGGTAGTTCGCCTGAGGTCTGATTGGTCGATTGCCATGCAAATTGACGCAGTACACTGTAGTTCCATCATCGCTCGTTCTGGGCCTCAATTTGAGCTATTTCTAAAATTATAGTAGGCAGTTTATCGTTTGATGCGTAGATCAATTTAAGCAGGCTTTTATTAGCTTCACTGCTATATAAACAGGCCTACTGGGTGGGTATCTTTTCGGTAGGCAGCGGCTTGGCTCTGCCCCTGGCATTGCTGAAGTCAATGGGCGACGGTAACCACTCACCATCAGGTGGGCCATCGTCTGTCTACAAGGGCAATTTAAAAAAAAGTCTTGCCGGATTTTCTCAGTAGATCGTGATTCCGGTTCGGTGGTAGATTCAGCTCTTGCTAGGGCTAATTCCATATCTACCAGAGTGATTTTCGTGAGCTCGCCTATCAAACCGTTAATAGCTGGAATAACCCCTCAAGGTTACTGATTAGGTACAGACACGCTGACGACCTCATGATTAATGGCCCACCTTGTCCATGTCCATAGAAAGCGTGGCTTGACCACAGTCTCTCATTTACACCCTCCTGTCGAGAAGTTCCAGAACATCGCACCAGAATAACACCCTACCCACAATCCTATTTAAAACAACACTAACCACTTGATGAATTGCTTACTCGTGTACAGAACACAGGAAAGAACTCCCGAAAGCATTTTCATCAAGTATCAAGATTACGGAATCGCCTCAAAAGAGATCTCTTTGAAAAAAAGTTTCGATGACTTTCAATGCTGTTACATAAAAGTTCTAATTTCTTTCGTCAAAAAGATCCTTTCGTTCCGAATAATAAATGTGAAGGAAATACTTGGAACTCGTATTCATAAAAAAAATATCTCTCTCTTTCATTCCCAACGTATAATTGTTATGTAAGATTCTCATATTCGCGTATTAAGTAAATAATTTAGTCAGATTCAAAACGAAAGCAAAATATATATTATTGCTTAGGTGGGTGGACGAGCTCACAGCCCACCTGTCGTTAGACATTTACAATGTAAACCGAAACGCATTACTGCTTCACGGCAGAAATAGGCGGGGCGGTGGTACCTACCCGTGCGGACTCACAAGAGGTCCTACCATTAGTAATGACGCAAATTAAAATTTTGTATGTTTGATTTTTATTACACGATGTTATTCTTTCACAGTGGAAGTCAATCGTGAATTTAGTTAAGTAGGTATTCCATTAGAAAAATTGTTACCCGCCTGCGGGATTCGAACACCGTTGCATCGCTAGATACGAATGCACCGGACGTCTTATCCTTTAGGCCACGACGACTATATTATATGTAAAAAATATTAGTTTGAAGCGAAATAATTAAATTGAAATATAGTTTCTAAACTACATGGTTCGTGGTCTGAAGGATTCGTATTATAAGGGCTAGGAAAGCTTAAACGGCCTAAGGCTTTTTCTGAATGGGCCGATAGACGATCTCACGGCTTGTGACGTCACAGCGCAGAAACCGCCCTTTTGAGACTGAAATTCTCCATCGGCGTTCTGATTGATTAAATGATGTAATTTTAAAAGCCAACTACTAATCTGATTACCTTTCTTCTTCTTCTTGCTTCGGTTTCCTCAATACTGAGGGTCGTGCTCACCTCCTCGCAACAAGAGTTTATTGCGGACCATTCCACGCCATTTGCCTCTATCTGCCGCCGAGTGTAGAGCATCGTGAACTGTGGTGTCGAGGGTAGAGCGGATCTGGTCAGTCCAACGTGTCGGGCCTCTACCTCGTGGTCTTCTTCCGTCCACACTTCGTCTGATTACCTAGTAATTAAACAATTAGCGTTTGCAAACTGTTCCAATAAATTATTATTTCAATTTCCAAGTTACAGACAGAGAGTGTGTTATCTTACACAATGACGTCATTGTTCAAAAGTGCGATATAGTCTATATTGACACTCGCACTGTGCTTGGGATACCTAAAAGCACCGTTAATAAATCGAGAGGATCCGAAATCACGTTAGTCATGAACGACAGTGATCATAATTGGACGAATTAATAAGGTATGCAGAGAATCTCCGTATTTTAATACGCTTTTATTAGCTTCAGACGTATGTATGTAAGTATGTAACGGAATCTTTGAACGTGATTTTGACCCCCTTGGTCAAAACGTCGGATTAACTCGAAATTTGGCATACTTATCAAGGACCGATGACTTCAATATATATAAAAAAATGAAAAAAAATTCAACTAAAAAATTAAAATTAAACAGTAATTTAAAAAAACAAAAAAAATACGCTTTTATATAAAATCCAACTAAAAAATAAAATATAAGTGTTAATAAATTTGAATTAAAAATAGTGTAAGAGAAAATGATTTTATTGTAAAAAAGCGTGGGGTGCTTTTCAGGACATTATCAAAATAACCCTTCTACTCATATCTGTTCATAAAATATTTATAACTACTGATACCATGCACCCCACGCTATTTTTACAATAAAATAATCTTTTCTTACACTATTTTTAATCCAAATTTATTTTCTATTTTTTAGTTGGATTTTCTATAAAAGCGTATTTTTTTAAAACTATTATTTATTCACTGCACGATCATAAACTAGGTTTCATTTCAGATTTTATTTTAGGTTTTATTTATTTATCCATAGTACGTTATTCTTAACACACGTTCTGAAGTCATGTCAGGTACATCAAATCAAAAGTCTCGTCCAGTTCAATGCCTCCGTCGTATGTGACAATCCTAACGAATGTGGAACACTTCAAGATGTCATCGAAATACGTGGTCTGAGTTTCAAGTACAAATCGCTGTTAGTATTATTTACTGGTGGTAGGACCTCTTGTGAGTCCTCGCGGGTGGGTGCCACCACCCTGCCTATTTCTGCTGTGAAGCAGCAGTGCGTTTCGGATTGAAGGGCGGGGCAGTCGTTGTAACTATACTGAGACCTTAGAACTTATATCTCAAGGTGGATGGCGCATTTACGTTGTAGATGTCTATGGGCTCCAGTAACCACTTAGCACCAGGTGGGCTGCCAGCTCGTCCACCTATTTAAGCAATAAATAAATAATAGGTTAAAAAATCTAAAAAAATACGCTTTAATAGAAAAGCACGTTTTTTTTACAATAAAATTATTTTTTCTTACACTATTTTTAATTCAAATTTATTAAGATTTATTTTCTATTTTTTATTGGCATTTTCTATAAAAGCGTTTTTTGTTTTACCTTTTTTTGGGATTGAAGAATCACGTTTCTTCCCAAGAACTTGCCGCATAGCTAGAACTGATGGACGAGTCCATGAGCTCAGCCATCAGGTTTATCCGGGTCAATAATAATCTATCAGCGAGTCCGTCCCCAATAAAACCTAAAATATCCGGACGGCGAACAAATATTTTACCAAGAATTGATATTCCTTTGTGAAGTTTGGTTTCATTTCCATATCTTTTGTTTCAGCCGCGATAGAGTCCCTCCACGCGCCGACGGGGGGAAATGTAGAGCTGCCCTGTGACGTCACGCCCACCCTCCCCGACGACATGATGGGCTTGGTCATCTGGTACAAACAGGGACACAAAACCCCTATATACTCGTGAGTATCTAAAAAAATTTTAAAAATGGGTTGTTCTGTAAAGTCGGTTTACTGACGATAGTTGAACGTGACAATGTCATAAGAAAATACTGATAGAATTGTTTCATTTTTCAATTATCGCAATTATCGTTACTATAAACAATTGACACCACATTCACTTTTCACTGAACTTCATACTTGACGAAAACATGTAAATGTAGTATTGTATAGCAGCTGTCCACGCGGATGCATCGCTCACTCAAGTAGGAGAGAGACAGATGTCGAACGCTGCCGAACGCGGAGGCCGATTGTGCCTCTTTGTCGCTCGTTGCGCGCTCTCGCTTGCACTTCAAGCCTTAAATGGAACGCCTCATGAGTCATGCTTTTTCGTGCGTGCAGCCGGCTCCATCGAATTATAAGACGTTGTCACGTCAAAAAATATTTGGTTCGAGCGCCATTTTGCAACTCTACAGGAGAGTCATTTAAAGTTTTTCAAATTTTGGAACGAAATATCATAACAAAGACAATACTTCAGGTGTTTGCTTGAAGTAAACTTAATTGAAGTTCAATTAAAAACATCGAACTGTTGATGTGAATACCAAATAAAACGGGCCTTTAATTACAGTGATAAGTGTCGCGTATCAAGCGAAATGTCACTTAAACCACTTTTTATTTATTTATTGCTTATATGGGCGAACGAGCTCACAGCCCACCTGGTGTTAAGTGGTTACTGGAGCCCATAGACATCTACAACGTAAATGCGCCACCCACCTTGAGATATAAGCTCTAAGATCTCAGTATAGTTACAACGGCTGCCCTACCCTTCAGACCGAAACGCATTACTGCTTCACGGCAGAAATAGGCGGGGCGGTGGTACCTACCCGCGCGGACTCACAAGAGGTCCTACCACCAGTAAACCTCCACACAATAAACCACCACATAACCTTTTACCTCTCGATATAATATAAGATGATTGTTTTTTTAGTTCGTAACCTCTTCCTTCGCACGTGGCTTATTGGATTAACTTGAAATAGGATACGAAGAAGGCTTCTGTCGGTAAACATGAAAATAGACAGGTAGTAACGTAAAAATGGGCATATCATAGTAATACAAGATTCCTTCTCGTTAATAGAATTTATATGTCTGTTCATGAATATATTATAATATGTAGTGTTTTAGAGAGAGAGAGAGAGAGAGAGAGAGAATACACTTTATTGCACACCAAAACACAATTTACATTCAAAAAACAATCAAAAAAAGCAGACACATTTGTACAATAGGCGGTCTTATCGCTAAAAGCGATCTCTTCCAGACAGCCGTTTAATTTATAGAAATTCTGGAAAATATAAAAAAATATAGCAGGTATGTTGCAGTGTACTATAGATAATACATTATAGACAATATATACATACAATAAACAAAATATATACCATTTACATATAATATGAAATATATACCAATATTTATATAACAATTATATACCAATATACATACTTACATACAATACATACTAATATACTTTAAATTTTTTTTTTTTTTTATTGCTTAGATGGGTGGACGAGCTCACAGCCCACCTGGTGTTAAGTGGTTACTGGAGCCCATAGACATCTACAACGTAAATGCGCCACACACCTTGAGATATAGTTCTAAGGTCTCAGTATAGTCACAACGGCTGCCCCACCCTTCAAACCGAAACGCATTACTGCTTCACGGCAGAAACAGGCGGGGCGGGTGGTACCTACCCGTGCGGACTCACAAGAGGTCCTACCACCAGTAATTACGCAAATTATAATTTTGCGGGTTTGATTTTTATTGCACGATGTTATATAATACACTTTATTGCACACCAAAACACAATTTACATTCAAAAAACAATCAAAAAAAGCAGACACATTTGTACAATAGGCGGTCTTATCGCTAAAAGCGATCTCTTCCAGACAACCGTTTAATTTATAGAAATTATGGAAAATGTAAAAAAATATAGCAGGTATGTTGCGGTGTACTATAGATAATACATTATAGAAAATATATACATACAATAAACAAAATATATACCATTTTTTACATATAATATGAAATATATACCAATATTTATATACCAATTATATACCAATATACATACTTACATACAATACATACTAATATACTTACATACACATAATACATCAACAGTATGGAAATAATAAATGATGATGCAAACAAACAGCACTAAGAAGATAAGTAGTGTTCCTTCACCATTCTTTTAAAACATTACATACATTTAGATATTACAACTTGAAGATTGATGTCGAACTCCTCAGTTTCTAGGAGAAAGAGAACTTACACATGAATAGTATTTACTAAACAAATAGTAAATGAGAGGATATTACTAATGTGAAACGAATACATATTACTAATGTTCTAATTACTAATCAAAATTTGATGTAAACAGTAGGTATACAAATTATGATTTAGTAACATAAGGAAATAAGTATGATATATAGTAACAATGATTTAGAACTTAAGAACTAAGAGTTTGAGTACATTATGTGTTTATAATAAAAATAATAGTATAAGTCCGCAGCTAAACCAAAAATAGACTATTCTTTTTTCGTGTCAACGAGTCCCGATAACTCAACGTAACATTTTGCTACTAAAGCCGAGCAACTGTAAACATAAAAGACTTCGAGGAACCGTAAAAACTAGCTTTATAATCGGCATTCTCATAAGGCCTAAAATCGTTCTGACGTTGAGGGCGGATAAGTCCTTTGTCAAGCAACACCGGCGCTGTCAAACTGTGTCATTTTACGTCGATGGATAGTTTGTTATTTTTTTTTCTATTAGCAAGCTTTTGTTAGCTCGGTATGTATGTACGTTGGTTTGTATGTGACGTTATATTTTAACTTGAAAATTTGCGATTACACTTACCCTCAGTGGGTCGCGATTCCGATCAGGTAGTAGATTCTGTGAAGCAAAGAATCAGATATAATCAGCAGTAGGTCGCCGACTATGATCACTTACCATCAGACGGACCGTCTGCTCAAATGCCCGAACCGGAAATTTAAAAGACATGTAATAAATATGTAAATAAATATTTACTAACAGTCACGCCACGTTAACTGGTCCCGTGATAAGTTCGTAAAGAACTTGTGTTACAGGTACCAGATAACAGATATAAATGTAAGATTTTTATTATACACATACACATATTTAATATACATCCATAACCCTGGAAAAGACATTTATATTTATCATACAAATATCTTCCCTTCGCTGGGATTCGAACCCGCGACCCCCTTGTGTAGTGACCATGTCACTTACCACTGCACCAGTCGGCCGTTATAAAATGAAGACTCCGATTTTTTTTAAATGTTTTTGTTTAAATATATATATATAAAAAAAACTGCAACCAGTTTCTTCGTAATTTGTTCACTCCGTACTCAGACAGGTGTACCCGCCGGCATAACTCGTTTGATGTATCAATGATCTCGGACTCTTAAAAGATCTCCACTGATGCTGCAACGCTAATGATCATAAAATTAATATTAATCATTAATATATTTTTCACTGAACTCCCTGATTGATTACGTAAATTTGATGTTTAATGATAAGAAAATTATTTTAGAATACCTGTATAGTATAAATAGGTAAAATCAATGAGTTTCTCGCCGGATCCTCTCAGTGTTTCGCGATTCCGATCCAGTGTTAGATTCAGAAAACCACTACTCTTGGGCTAGAGCAGTATTTTTTACAATAGTTAGATGTGTGGACGATCCATAGTCTCCGGGTGTTAAGTGGTTACAGGAGCCCATGGTCATCAACAACCTAAATGCCGATACCCATCTTAAGACACTAGCAAAGTCTCTCACACTATGCCCGGTGACCTTGCTTGCACCTGCCAAAATAGCTCCTTGAGGTTACTGACAATGGGTAGGCAATAAAGTTACTCCTCTAGAAAATCACAAGAGGAAAGATTTGTTTGTTTGTTTGTATTGAATAGGCTCCGAAACTACTGAACACATTTGAAAAATTATTTTACTGTTTAGAAGCTACACTATTCCCGAGTGACATAGGCTATAATCTTTTTTGAAAAAAATTAGGGATCTTTACTAAAACTCCATTAATGTACCCACCTTGGTAAAAAAATTACCTAAAATATTCTTTACATCGCGTGCCCTGCAAAAACTATTGACGATAGAATAAAATATACTACGACTTTGTAGAACACATTATTATTTACAAAAAGTGTCTGGACAGCGTATGTCTAATTATTATAGTTTTGCCGCAATAAGTGTTCTTTTATTTAAAAAAATAATACAACGTCAGATATTGTTGAAATTTTTGTTAAAGACCCGAGCGGAGCCGGAGCGGGCCGCTAATACTTAATAATTACTAAGCTAATGAATTACTTAATAATAACTTCAATTTAAATCCAACTTATAATTAAATATCCTGGTTGGCTTTCGGTGTGTCTTTCAAAACAGCTTGTCTCTCGACAAAGGTCCAATCTAAAAATTTCCAATATTCTTTATTTTTGGCCATTCGACTCCAATGGGCCAGCCATACTTTTTATTTCGTCTTCCCAGCGTTTTGGCTACCTTCCTTTTTTTCTACAGCTGTCCCGTGGATACCACTCTGTAATTATCACAGAAGTAGAAAGTCACATTGCACAGAACTTAATGAAAAAAAAACAAATCCTTCCTCAAAACTTCTAATTGAACAATATTTCACTTCTCGGATCAGCCTGTAAACCCAACTGATGATAAGTCCATGAGCTTCAACGCTAAGCTTATAAAGCTACCATATAAAGCAAGCTTTCATAACCGGACAATTGCGGAGCGCGGCCGCTTTGATCTCCGAATACACCGCGTGACTGTGTGATAACATTGGGATTAGGTAAGTTCATAGCGAAACGTGCACAACATGTGGGTTTATCTCCACAGACGGTTACACGTGCACGGCTGGCCGTACCTAGCCCGATAGTTCGAAAATTCACGTGTTTATTTACCGCATTAAAATTCGATAAATAAAAGACCTAAACT